AGCAAGGCTGGCTGGGGAATTCTGGGAGTTCAAGTCCACCCATCTGAAAGCAGCCAAGGTTGAGAAACACTGACATACAGCTTACGTGTGATGTGCATAAAAAGGTTTCGGGCCATCTCGACAAACCCAGTGGGTTTTTCACCCATCACAATGGCTGTTGAATAGGCTGCTTGTCATACGCCTCGCATGCAGCCTGCATTGGCAGTTCCCCTCCTCTGTCCCCCCAGCCCCCCCCAGTTTGAACCCTCCATCCATGCATCTGAGCCGCAGCTCCCCAAACCTTCTGCCCTTGCATAAAATGGGTCATTTGGAAGACCCGCTACCAGCCCCCCTTTGATTTCGGGTCTCCTCCTGCAAGGGGCAAGAGATGGACACGCACGGAGAAAAAAACTAACGTTGGCTCGCTTCCGGCCCTTCTTCCCCAGCCTGCAACTTCGTCTGCCACGTGGCCTGCGCGGCTGCAGCCTCCATCTGCCCCATGCCTTCCGATCAGCTCCAGAAAACCCTGGGGGTGAATCCAGTAAATGGGACCGGCACCGCCTTTGAGGGACATTTGTCGGTAAGAGACCGAGTTCCCCGGTTCCCAATAGGGCAGGCAGCCTTGGGAATTGCACCGTCGAGGCTCATGATTTTAGTCCCTGGATGACTTTGGTCGACTTTGAAAGAAAGCTAAGGGCTGGGTTGGGTTCATGCCTGGATGGGAGACCACCAGGAGATCCCAGGCTGGAGGCTAGACTGGGAATTAGGAAAAAAACCTGACCAAGGCAGTGATAAAGATCTTCTAGATCAGTGCTTTTCAACCTTGGTGAGTTTAAGATGGGTGGACTTCAACTCCCAGAATTCCCTAGCCAATGATCTAACCCAGTGTTTCTCAACCTTGGCCATTTGAAGATGGCTGGCTGGGGAATTCTGGGAATTGAAGTCCACCCATCTTAAACTCGCCAAGGTTGAAAAGCACTGATCTAGACTAAAACATGGCCATATCAGTGAAAGTCCTCAGGAACGGAAGTTTTGATCTTTATAAAACTTTATAAAGAAAATCCCTTGAAATTTTCCACCCAGTTTGTGATAATCTGTCTGTTAGAGGCTAGTTCCTCCAAATTTCTGCCGGGGAAGAGAAACCTCCATTTCTCATTGTTAGGGACAAAAATATAGTCTGAGTGAAAATAATCGTCTGACTTCCCCTCTCCGAAGGGGAGATTCTCGTCTTGGAAATGAATGGAAGCCAGCAAAATTGCAGAAGTGATTGTGCTTTGTTCAAAGATTTGCACTCACACACCTTGGTTGGATTTGCACAACTCTAGGTCTCTAGGTCAGCGCAAGACCTGACCGCTTCAGTCCCCCAAAATGGCTAAGCTATCTTAATGTTATGCCGGTTAGTTTTTCATAACTAAGTTTGTTGCCTGAATCCAGCCAGTTAGGTTAATCGGTGCATTGAATGAACCCAGAAGGTGAGTCGGGTGTGTTGTGTGAATGCAGCTAAATGAAACACCCCCCATCTCTGTGAATTTCTCCTAAATTCACTTTTCCTTTGAAATGAACTTTGCAACCAGGTTCCCTTTCACCAATTAAATGAGAACTAGGAAAAAAAAACCGCTGCAGTAAATGGCTCTATTTTTTATCATCATGGATGTTTTACGCCCTCCGGTGGCTGGTATTGGTACAGCATTCAAATGGGTCTATGGGGCAGGGCTATTTCAAAAGATGGCAAAGTCTGCTCCCTGGCGGCTGATGTGGGGATTGCACCCAATAAGAAACAGCTTTGCCCTGTTTCTCCGCCTGGCAAATGGGTTTTATATGTTAGCTCTGATGGTAAAAAGTCCTTTTCCCCCTCCCAATTCTCTTTAAATCAATATTACCTTGGATAAGAACATGCTTGACTGCTTTCTCTTAAAGGCAATCTGGATTTTGCTTTTGGGTCCTGGGTTACATTATTTATTTATTATTTATTATTACATTTATATGCCACCCATCTCCCCCAGAGGGTGACTCTGGGCAGCTTACAGTTAAAAACCAAGACAATAAAAACAATAAAAATATAAATACAATAAATACTGCGCTGCTAATAAGAGTGCAGCAGCTCCATGCCCTCTGGACATATCCAAGGATACCTCCCATCATCCGCAGCCAATGTGGCCATATGGGAGTTGTGGTCCAACAACATCTAGAGCATGACAGGCTGGAAAAAACGGAGAGGGTTATAGAATAGCCCCAAACAATTAAAATAGAGAAAAAGGAGGCGGTTGGGACATTTGGAAAAGAGCGTGGGATTTTCTTTGGCTGGAGGTGCTTAAGCCGTTCGGGGAGAGAGAAAGAGGTCCTGATTCCTTGGAGATATTTCAGCAGGGGCTATCAAGCCGCTTCTCCGAGACGCTTTGCTTCCGCCTGGAGTCACGTAAGCGGGTTGAGCTAAATGCCCTCCGGGGTTCTCCTCCAAGCAGATGGTTCTGCACACGTAGCAGAGAGTGGATCTCCTGCTGCGCTGAGGAAAAAGGGTTTGCGGGTTCCTCCTTCCTTCGCACAGGTCCCCAAGCCCTCCGGGGTGAGGAAGGGCTGGCAGAGGGCCTTCGTGGTGGTCAGCGACTTCAAGATGTTCCTCTTCGACGTCCCGGAAGGGAAGACCTCGCCGGGCGTCATGCACGTCACAGATATGCGGTAAGCAGCTGTGGGCGTGGAGAGACACCCAGCACCTTCCTGGCCGGGCACCTAGTTGGCCTTGTGGAGAATTGTGCCCCAAGTCTGATTAAACTTTGATTGAAAGGGCAAAGGGAGGTTGTATCTTCTGCCCTTTATGTTTTGGGGGGAGGAGGAGGATTTTCAAACAGCCCACCCTGAGCGGTGCCGTGAGTTTTAGGATTCCAAAAACTTAAATAGAGAGGAAAAAGAAGAATATAAGTTGTTTGTGCCTGTAATCAGCTTAACTTGGTTAGAGAATGAACCCATTTTCTGTATTTGCACAATATGTTGAATTGCATGCTAACGAAACCCACTAACCCCCCCCCTCCCGCAAACTTACTAAAGTGAACCTTAACCCAGCTGATTGTGTGTGAATGCATTTAGATCAGGGTTTCTCAACCTTGGCCACTTGAAGATGGGTGGACTTCAACTCCCAGAATCCCCCAGCCAAGTGGCCAAGGTTGAGAAACCCTGATCTAATGATCTAACCCAGTGTTTCTCAACCTTGGCCACTTGAAGATGGGTGGACTTCAACTCCCAGAATCCCCCAGCCAAGTGGCCAAGGTTGAGAAACCCTGATCTAATGATCTAACCCAGTGTTTCTCAACCTTGGCCACTTGAAGATGGGTGGACTTCAACTCCCAGAATTCCCCAGCCAAGTGGCCAAGGTTGAGAAACACTGGGTTAGATCATTGGCTGTCCTGGTTAGATGTGTTAGGTAAACCAGCAATGATTCAGAGTGGTTAAAAGGACGAGAGACTTCATTTGAGGCATGTGGGTTGGAGGGCCCAGATTGGCGGCCAGATTAGGCCCCTGGGACGGACGTTCCCGACCTCTACGGCATGACATCTTGCCATTTTCTCTACCCGCTGACATTCTTGGCTATTCACCCTCCAGGAGGTAGAATTCTTTTCTCGCCCGTTTTTATCCCAACAACAGGGACGAGCAGTTTTCCGTGGCTCCGGTCCTGGCCTCCGATGTCATCCACGCCAGCAGCAAAGACGTACCCTGCATCTTCCGGGTAAGGCCCGGGAGAGACGGGAAAGCCTGAGTCTCGTGCTCTGATATTCCAGTTGGGACCCAGGATGACGGAGTGTGAATGGTGGAGGTGTGGCTGGTCCAAAACCTCAGATGAACGAACGGAAGCAGGTTTAGCAGCCAACGTGGGTCACTGAGTGCTTTCACAAAGACTGCAGGGACCCCAAACAGAGGTTTCGCGATGTGGGGGAGCCGCGGAGTCTCTTCGCATCGCCAAATGGGCCTTGCCAGAACTGGCACTCAGAAAAGGGGGTCTGTGCCAGGTTTGGGGGAAGAGCCTCTGAAAAAGCAGGATTTGCAAACCCCAGAAGGCAGGTGTGCCCCAAAACATCAAGGTAGTGGTGCAAGGGTGCGACTGAGGCTCCACCTGCCTGCCTTTCAAGTGTGTCCAGACTCGGCTGAGCCCCTGGCATGATCCGGCTCCTCCTGGCCTGCAGTGGCAGACCTGGGGCATCCCGGGCCCCGGCCGGCGTCCCGCTGACGCGCCCCCTTCCCCCCGCAGGTGACAGCCTCGCAGCTGAGCTCCCCCCCGACCACCAGCTCCACGCTCTTCCTGGCCGACAGCGAGGCGGAGATGCGGAGGTGGGCACAGGTGCTGGCCGAGCTGCAGCAGCTGCTGCGGCAGAACCGGCACGGCGACCGCGCCGTCTACGTGCTGAAGGAGGCCTACGACAACGGGCTGCCGCTCATCCCCCACGCCCTCTCGGCTGCCATCATAGGTACGCCCCAAATGTGGTTCGGAGGGGGGTCTGCTCTGCTTCCCTGGCACGTCGTCTCCGGAGAAGGGATGTCCGTCTTGACTGGGGCTCACTGTGGTGGCGTGCCGTGTTTTGCAGACCGGGAACGGATCGCTCTGGGCACGGAGGACGGCCTTTTCCTCATTAACCTCAGGACAAACGGTAAGGCGGTCCTTTGGTCCCAGCTGACCTTAGCTATTTTTCACCCTCCCCCACTGAGCTTGGTTACAGCTGATTTTGGGGGGGTCCTTTTACAGGCTTAGCATATTTTGTCTGAATCTGGCTAGAAGCTGGTTTATCCAAGAACCAAGTTAAATTGTCTTGCTTTTTTAAAAAGTAACCTGACCTCCCTTCTTAATGCTCACGGTCCAGTTGCCCTGCGACTGATTTTCCGCCATTGTGGCCGGAGAGCAGGGCGGGGGCTGCGGCTGCCGACCCCTGGCCGGGTGTCTTGACCCCTTTTCTCCCCTCCAGATGTGTTGCAGGTGGGCGACTGCCGGCGGGTGCAGCTGCTCCTGGTCTCCCCCCAGGCCCAGCTCCTCTGCGTGCTCTGCGGCAAGAACCACGGGGTCCGCATCTTCTCGTGGGCGGAGCTGGAGACCCCCGAGGCCCCGGGCACCAAGGTGGTGGAGGCCAAGGGCTGCCAGGCGGTGGCGGTGGGGCTGATCTGCCGCGGCCCGACCCCCGTGCTCTGCGAGGCCTACAAGCGGCAGGTCCTCTGCTTCCAGCTGACCGCCACGCACCCGCCCCACCGCCGCATCAAGGAGATCCAAGCCCCCGGCTACGTGCAGTGCCTGGACGTGCTCGGGGACCGCCTCTGCGTGGGCTACCCGTCCGGCTTCTCCCTCTACCCTCTGCTCAACGAAGGGCCCCCGGTGAGTCTGCCCCATGCGGACGACAGCCGGGCGTCTGCCGTGGCCCAGATGGAAGCGCTGAAGGCCGTGGAGGTCAGCCTGAGCGAATTCATCCTCTGCTTCAGCGGTTTCGGCCTCTACGTGGACGGGCAGGGCCGCTGCAGCCGATCCCAGGAGCTGATGTGGCCGGCCCTGCCCCTCAGCTGCTGTGAGTGGGTCGCAGATCTACAGGGGGCTTCGGCGGGGATGAAGGGGGTAGTGGTCCATCCCTTCTCAGGCCAGCTGGGCGTGAGACCTGACCTGTGCATGCTGGCCGTGCTCGGTGCGGTGCTCCGTCTACAACCGGGTCTGTGAAGCCCCCAGGCACAGCCCGCCGATGTTGGTCCCCCTTGGAAAGCATTGGAAGGGGCGACTGTGACATTCGCGGACCGAAGATCAATTCACGTCACTCTTTTAAAATTGTAATTCCAAGGTGATGTAAATGAAAGGAGGCGAACGCCAGCGTGGCTCTCATCCCCTCTGCTACCAACGTAAACCAGCAGATTGCAGGTTAACACGATACAGCAGTGTTTCTCAACCTTGGCAGCTCTCAGAGGGGTGGACTTCAACTCCCAGAATTCCCCAGCCAGCCAAGATCG